GGGGGGGGGGGGGGGGGGGCGTTACGTATGCTCCTGTGATTTGGACCTTGGATGGATGTATTCGCCTGGGATGCTAAACTTGTAGCTTCTTGTTGACGTGCGGGACTCAATTGGGCGTTGTCGTTTGGGATTTGAGGAAGTGAGTAGTCTCTGCTTCTTTTGTGTCTTGTTTATCATGGGAAGTTAGTTCCGGTTATTTTTTGTTCCCGCAGTTCTGCTAGTAATTACTGTTATGAGTTTTTGTGCAGACTGTTCTGAAAAAGGTGGCAATGTTGAGAGTAAGGTGCAGTTTGAGGTTTGATCAAATTGACGGTTGGGTAATAAAAGTAACTTTTTGATGTCTGTCGGATTATGAGTAGGACTTCTTGCAGAGATTTCATTGTTGCTACTGCTGAAATTGTAACCATTTTGGACTGGGCAACGGTTTGAATTGGCGAATGGCTCAGTAGTCACGGTCGATGAATTGGTTAAAAATCTGTAGATGGTTGGATTGGCATAGCTAATTGCTTGCTCAGACGAATCATTTGTTGAAAGTGTTGCATTTAATGAGATATGAGCCATCATTTAGTGTCAGGCCAGAGAGGTGATTTGATGCTTTAGGTGTTGAAAGAACAGTAGCGAAGCAGTTAGGGTTGGGCAAATTGTATTATATAGTTTGTTATTGAAATAGTCTGAAATTCTGAAAGAGGTGACATTCCTACAAATGTTTACACTTCAGGTAGACAACAAAAAACTAAGGTGTTATAGCAAAAGAGCGGATAAGTGTCTTGCCAAAATTTTTACGTTGGATGTCTCTGCTAGTAGCGTAGTTATTGCTCACTGAGTTTGCAAAAAAAAGCAGTTAACACGATGTAAGGAAATTGATGTTTGTTACTGTGCTGATAAGCAAAAAGTTTTGAGATGTTTTTTTTTTTTATCACTTATATGAATGGGTATTTTTTACTACATCTCAGCAAAAAATTTTGAATGCTGAACAACAAGTTTTATCGAAAGCAAAATGCGGAAATAATGGGAAGTTATCTAACTGATTGA